ACAGACCCTGCAGACTCCCAAAGGCCCCAGGCTGTGGAACGCACTCTCACAGGGAGTGGGGCCTGGGTATTGATGGCTGCGAGGACCCCTCAACTGGAGGGGGCCCAGGGCAGGAGTGTGATGGGTGGCACCACTAGGGTCCTCACCCCAGCACAGGGACTAGAAGTGACAGGAATAGGAGGCCGGGTTCCACTGGCACATGCCGGTAGACTCTCTAGGCAGGCACAGAGGCCGCGAGGAAGAACATTCTAGAGCTGGCAGTCTTCAGTCTCCATGCAGAGCTAGGAGCAGAGACACCACATTGTGCACTTATGACAAGCCACATCTGTGAGGCCCACAGTGGCACCTCTGGCCATAGATGGCTTTGGCCAGGTCAGTCCCCAGGGCCTCAGGGCAAGTGAGTGACAGCCACCTAAGGTGTCAGTGTGGCTCTCGCTCTCCACTCATCCTTGCAGCTGCATGGAGAGGGTCGTCTCTGAGTGGGCTCCTGTCTGGCACAGGCGATGGAGGGATGGGCACACACAGGGCAGCGGGGGAGGGGGAGGGGGAGGGGGTAGGAGCAGGGAGGCCCCGGGCACAACCTAGGCGTTGCCTGGCCTCCCTGGGTCTGGAATTCCGCGCATCCTCAGCGTGACCCTCACTGTTGTCCGCATCCTGTGCACGTCCTTCTCCAGGGACGTGAGCAGCTTCTCACCTCATAACTCCGGGGTCTCTCCCTCTCTCACGCACATTACCTCCACTTGCCTCCCACCTACAGATGCCGAGAGCCTGCCTCTGGCACGCACTGCCCTCACATAGAAGGGAGGAGAGGACGAGCCTGGGCCCTGGGAGGCTCCCTGGGTCCTGGGCTGAGGTCTGGGAGTGGATGTGGCCGACAGCATTCCAGGGCCAGCCCCTCCAGGCAGGGCGGCTCCTCCCGGGGTTTCACCCTGGTACCCACCGGTGTGGCCACACAAACCAGGGAGCCCCACCTGCCTCCCCACCCGCCAGCCCATCCCTGCCCTCATTTTCCAGCTGCTTTTCCAAGCACTGACACGTAGCGAAGGCCCTGCTGGGACCCATGGCCAAGTCTCCACCATGAGCAGGAGGTTGGCTCTCGGTGCTCACGCAGTCCAGGTGTGCCTAGGCCCCCCAATCTTCCCCTCCCCAGCCCCCCTCAGGTCTCTGAGTGTTTCAGCTCTATTTTTAGCCCCTGGTCCACCCAGGCCTCCCTGACAGAGGCCAGGGCCTCTGAACAGCAATGCCCCTTTGAGATCGGCCCACTCCCTCCTCCATGCTAGGGAGCCACTCGTCCACATCTGTCTACACCTCCCTGGGCTTGTACACCTCCCAAGATGGGAAACTCCTCCCTTCTGGGCAGCTGACTGGCGTTCAGGCAGTGCTGACTAGAAGTACTTTCTTGTATGGAGCTTGAGTCCATATTTCCAGAAGCTTCTACCACTGGGCCACTCCTTCTTTCCTCACTGGGAGGCCCAACAGCCTCTCTGTTCCTGCCCCAGCCTTCAGCCTTTCCAGCTGTGGTTGGGGTGGGGTGAGCAGGGAGTCTGTGGCCCGCTGCGAGGTCTTCAGCGGCCACCTCCAGGAACTGA